GGGGGGGGGGGGGGGGGGGAATGATAAAACAGAGATTACTTAGATGAACGTCGAATTTCCATTGATAGGGGTGCCACATTCATCTACAAGATATGTAATCAGATTTGACTCTTTATGCTGCAACAAACCACTAAAAGAGATATTCAGAGACATTTTCAACCATGTCATCTTTAATTGAAAATGTTACCAGAACTCGTAAAAACTAACAAAGAGAGTACAAGAACAAATCATACAAAAACCAACATGTAACAACTAGAAAGTGAGCAAGAAAGAGAGGAGAAAAGAAAAATAGCAGGCATAACCTTAAATATTTGCAATCAAAATTTATAAAATAACTTCAAAGAGTTGAATGATTTAGAATATTTATGATACAGATCAAATTCAAAAAACAAGAAGAGGAAAGGATCTGAAATAAGAAAAGAAAAATAACAACTATTTGGGAATTCTTACCATAAAGATGTAGAGCCAAGCTATCGCCTTGGATGTAGTCAGCAAGAAGAAGCCTCTCTTGTTCCCTTGGTCCCCAATAGTAAGCTTGCACTGGAACAAAGTTTGGATGCCTTAAAGACCCTATCTTTTTAACTTCCCTAGAAAATTCTTTCTTATGCTTAACCAGTCCAACCCGCAACCACTTCACAGTCAAAATATATCCACTACGGAGAGTGGCTTTATAAAGAGTCCCATGACTGCTTCTTCCAAGAACTTCTGCTGGAGCTCGAGATAACTCCTCAATAGTGAATGCCAGTGAAGAATCAAGGAAGAAAAGTTCTCCTGCCAAACGTTCCGGTGAGTAGACATCCAATGTTACAGGCTGTTCACATGCTTCAATAAAACGTGGTGATGATGGTAATGGAGAACCAGGAGATGATTTCATTGCAGATGTTGCAGGCTGATCATCTAGCAAATTAGGATATGCAGATGCTGAAACCACTCTTTGAGGAGCATCATGTTCAACAATTTCAGTAATAGCCTCTTGCTGTCCAGATAATGACCTCGAATTTGAAGTAAGCAAGTGGTCATTCGAAAAGCTCAATGAAGTTTGTGAGTGCTGAATATTTGAGTGGAATTTGAAAGCAGAAGGCCGTGAAGACCTTCCTATTTTTGAATCTCTCCCGGTAATCTGGTCAGAAAATCTAGTTCTTCCATGAAAATCTTTATGATGTGCCCGATGATAGGCAAATAGAACCAAAGCAATCATCATCACTGCAACAACTGAGGCAGCAATTATCGCTACTTTGATATTACCCTTTGACCTATGATGTCCTCGGTCAGGGTTGGGGGTTGAGGAAGGCCTGAGTCCAGAGAGATTTAGCATTACATTTCCAGGACAAAATGAAGACTTAGGGAAGCGTCTCAAGTTTTCTGGAATAGAACCTGATAGATCATTGTTGGAGACATTAAATTCAACTAGGTTGGATGAAAGCCTATCAGGAATTTCACCGTTGAATTCGTTTCCAGATAAATCAAGGTATTCCAAGTTGGTCAATTTGCTCAATTCACTTGGCAGGTGGCCAAATAACCTGTTATTTGCAAGATTTAGCACCTTGAGCCTTTCCATGTCACCTATCTGAGAAGGCAACCCACCTACAAAGGAATTACTGGAGAGATCCAGAGATTCCATCTGTGGATAAGAAGGAATGGCTAGTAATTCATTCACACGTGAACCCTGAAGAGGTATTGGCCCATCGAAATGATTTCTAGAAAGATTCAGGTCTTTCAAAGTTATTGAAGAGAAGAAACTACCAGGAATGGGTCCGCTAAGCTGATTTAAACTCAGGTCAACAACAGACAATCGTGGACAGGTATCTGATAGAGGAGGCAAGCTACCAACAATGGAATTATTCCCAAGCTTAAATGTGTTTAAAGTCTCAAAGTGAGAAGTCAAGTTTGGTAGGCTTCCTGCCAACTTGTTTGAACTCAAATCAAGAACCTCCAAAGAAGCTTCCCAGTTCTGCATAACAGAGATGTCACCAGAGATCATGTTTCTGCTCAAATCCAGCATTAGGCATCTTCTCAAGGTAGAGGGCAAATCGCCAGATAACTGATTTGATGAAAGATTCAAAGTAGTCAAACTCGTAGAATTAATTACATCAATTGAACCTGGAAACGCATGGCAAGATGCTGTATCAGGTGACTTCAAACATATGTATGAGACAGACATGTATAGAATAATAGAATGGCAAATTAGCAAATCTATAAAATAATAAATTTAGAAAATAAAAAGAAACATTGGATTTACTTCTTTTGATATGGTAACAAGTGTACCATCATTCACACTTGCATTTCAGCCAATTTATGCTAGAGTTAATAAACTCATTGAGGAGATTCCATCATTTGAGTACCAGGAATTTATTGCAGACACGACAACTAGTGCCACAAGATGTTATAATGGAAAGATTAGTCCAGTTATGGAGGACACAATGCAAGTAGGAGAAACAATTACAGCATACATAATTCAAGGCAGAAACCGAAATACTTTTTGATCTCTAAAAGCTCAGCCAATGATATTAATAGCACTTGAGTACAATAAAAGTTTAAAGTGCCAACAATTTCAACGTCAGGAAGACGACCACTTCAACTTGTAGACCAGGTGTGACCAGCCATGTGCATTGTAATCTTCATAATGCAGCTCCAGCAAACTTAAAACAAACAAGAAGGTTGCCTCACAATAAATAAAGATTCCTTACTGCAGTACCTCGGATCTCTCTATCTATCCCCTTTGGCAAGCACAGTATCATTTTCTGAGCACACCTAAAGCACATGTACATTATTGGCATGTTTGGCCTAGCTTCTAATATGAACTCAACTAAAAATGCTAAAGGTGGGCCAAATACAGTTTTCAAGTGCATCTGGATCTTCTAAAAGCTGTTAGGGTTAAAGTTGAAGGGACAAACCCGTATCTTCTGGAGTAGAACTTTTACTATCAAGCTTCTAAATTTGAAATTTGTTTTATCAATTTCTTATTTTATCTGAATTTATGATTCAGAACTGCTGCAAAAGCTCTACTCAAACAAAACTTCTACAAAAGCCGCAACTAGATCAAACAGGCATTAAGAAGTTTGCCTCATTGATCATACGTTAATCACCACTTTGAACTTAAGATAGAATTTTCTTCTTTAGAAATAATTTGTTAAGAAGTTATATTGTAATCTATAGGCATCTAGATTGTGCCCTGCAAATATGCTTTAAATATCCATACAAAATACAGTTTATATCAAATGAAGAACTTCTGTCAACAATGCATGTATACATAAATTTTTCAAACTTTCTCCAATCGCAATTTAATGCCAAGGGCTCTATAATTTACACCCTTGCTCCACATACCATGCCCCATGTAACATCAAAAGACAACTATTAGTAAAATGGCAGACATATAAAGGACTATACAAGACATTAAAAACACAAAAAGGAAGTTCAGGTTCAACTAACAATGTTTTCAATTTTTCATGGCAAAAAGCAGAATGGTATAAATCCCAGGCCACTATCAACTATAATATTTGCACCCAATAAAAAAAAAAAAAATTCTAATAATGGTACGGACACACGATAGTGTTTCAACCTAGAAATGTGCAGCAAATTTGGACTACATCAAACAAGAAGAATAAAAAGGAAAAAGAAAAAGGTAAACCAAAATGCATACCCGTAAATCCGTTGCCACTGAGATCCAACTCCTGTAATGGAACCAATCCCTGCAACAACTCGACAGGCACTGCACCATAGAGCTCATTGTTTCCCAACTTCAAAACCCGCAATACTGGCAAAGACCCAAAACCAGGAAGCTCTCCACTAATCCCACTATCACCCAAATCCAAAACCTCCAGGTTTCTAAACAATGCAATTTCATCCCGCAGAAAAAATACACCATTCAACTGGTTGTGACTCAAATTCACATATCGGACAGTATTGGCCAAGCTTGAAATGTTTTCCACAGCATCTGGTAAACCCCCATAAAACCTGTTGTAACTCAAATCCAGATGTTCTACATTCCTTAATTGACTCAATAAGTCACCAACGTCACCCAAAAATGCATTACCGTGCAAATCTAACACTCTTAGCTGCTGCAAATTTCGAAACCCATCTGGAAATCCTCCTTCAAATTTGTTCTGAGACAAATTCAAGTAATTCAATCCATAAAGCTCAGTGATCCGAGCTGGGATCGTGCCCACAAACTGATTATTTGACAGATCCAAGTACTGAAGCGAAGTCATTGTGCCCAATGACGGCACCAACCTACCCATGAATGCATTTCCAGAAAGAGATAGATTCCGGAGGTTCTTGAGCGGAGTGAGAGTGCTGAACTTGAGGTCCCCAGTAAGACCCAAGCCGCTTAAGTCGATTCCGGTGACAGACCCAGAATTTAAGTCGCAGGTAACACCAGTCCAAGTAGCCGGTGTAGCTGTACGGTCCCATACAGAGAGGACCCTATCTAAAGGATCCGTTTTGATACCCTTCTTGAACTCCAAGAGGGCACCCAGTTCCGAATCCAACTGAGATGAACAAGACGAAGCAGAGAAGATAAGCAGCAGAAAGAGAAAGTAAAGCGAGGAAGGGAAAGTGAGAGTCATCTAATTCAGGAAGAAAAAGGGTATAAAAAAAAAAAAAAAACAGAACGTCAATGATTCATTGATCGAGGAACCCTAGAAACTGAAAACCCTTCTGGGTACTGAGACTGATCTTAGCCTTTTTTGATCCTGAAGATCGCTAAAAGAGAGAAAGTTAGGGTTTGTTTGGCATTTTCTTTTCTTAAAAAAAAAAAAAAGAAGAGAAGGAAAATCCGTTAAAAATGGCGGTAGGGGGCCAGAAGTGGGAGAGGTGGCCTGGAGGTGGAGAGAGATGGTTGGTGGGAGTGAGTAACTACAGTCTGTAAAGGACGGATGCTTACCTATATTTTCTCGCATTTTCTCTCACTTTCCCGGGATTTTTTTTGGTTTTTCCATTGCCATTTTTTATTTGTTTTTCATTTTTCAACCCTCTCTGTTTGTATCTGTTTCAGGTCACATGCTTTTTAACGGCTTTCTTAACAGTGTTAACTGACCTTCTCCCTCTTCTCTGTCCTTTTTCAAAAATGTGAGATTCTCTGCAGATTTTATTTCTTTTTTGGTTTTTTTTTTTTTTTTGCCACAGAGATTTTATTTTCCTTTTTTGCTTTGTCATAGCTATCCAAAAATCTAACTACTTTTTCTGTTAATTTCTTTATAAATATAATTTTTTTCCAACCTCTTTTTATTTTTTTTATTTTTTGCCCATTTTATTTTGGTAAAGATTAGTATTTTTATAATTTATATATTGAAAGAAATTCAGATTTACCATGTAGTGAAGGGAAAGGAAAAGTAAAAGTAAAATTCTTGCTGAAACGGTGATTAATGCTGTTACTATTTTTTTTTTTTTTGGGTAATAATTAATGCTGTTACTATGTTTAACCTAAAGCATACAAATGGTAAGGAATTAAAGTGTTTCTCTTTGTTGATATAATGTTTGTGCAAAGAGGCAAGGAAATACTCAAAATGAAGTGACATATTTGAAACTTGCTCACAAGTGGGCACCAACAGAAGATGGTTTTGTTTTTTTTTTTTTTTTAACGTGTGGAATTTTGGGAAATAGGTAATTTTTTTATGTCGTTTTTTACCAATTAAATCCAAATATTAAAGTTTGAAAATGAACCATTGCACCCAAAACCCAATTCCAAAAGTTTTTTTTTTTTTTTTTTGAAACATGTAGAATTATGAGAATGAGGGATTTTTTTAAGTCATTTGGGAATTGAACATCTAACTAATTAAATCCAAACACTTAAGACTTGATAACGAATTATTGGCTTAAAAACCGAGTCTAGAAGATGTTTTGTTTAATGGTAAGATTATTTATAGTTTTAACTATAAGTTTCAGATTTACTATTTAATTTTTATTTTATTAAAAATCAGATTGTTCAATTTTTTTTAAAAAAAATCTAAGTTTGGCACGCACAATATCACAAAATATCAAAAAGGTCTCAAATTTTACTGTGGGTTATTAGTAATAATAAAAAAAAAAACGATTAGCTCTCTTTTTTATTATTTTATTTTTTGAAAGAAGAGTATATAATTTTATTAGTCTATAAAGGGTATTGTTGTTTATTAACACACAGTTTTTTTATTTTTTATGGATACCACACAGATTTTTTAATACTACTGTTTAGAGATATTCTTTCCATTTTATATCAATTATTTAGCTGTCTTTTTGCTAATCATACTTTTATAGTAAAAATTTTCTAAAACAACCCACCGCATAGTAGGTTTAATGGTAATTTTCTATTTAAATAGAGCAACATATTTTAAGTTTGAATTTTAGGTACATGGAAAAGATATTATAAATTAAGAGAAAAATAATATAAAATTATGTTATTTTAATATTTTTTATTAAAAAATTTAAATAACATATTTTTATATTAAGATTGCATTTGTTTAAGTCTTTTACTATAATATTTTAATGAAACAAAATAGTTTTGAGATATTTTTTTCATAATTTTTTAAAAATAATAATTTAAAGATAATATTTTAATATAATTTTACAGATTATTAAATAATTAATTTTTTATTCATTTAAAACTTATTATATTAAATATATTTATTTATTTAATAATATATAATAATTATATAAAAAGTTACATAAAAAATTATTTTTATGTCATTACCCATTTTTTTTGAGGCCATGCCGATATTAATCACACTTAGTATACGTTTGGTGTAGTTAAAGTTTTTAATAAAAGTTTTGTTGAAAAAAAATTGTTATAGAAGTGTTGTTTTTATAAATAAAAAATAAATAAATAAATATTTTTTTTTATTAAAACCCAAATGAAAAGTTTTTACAGAAGTACCAAATCGATACTTATGAGATTTGTAATAAAATAGATAAAATACTAACTAATAAAAAGTTATACTATGTTCTACAAATTATAATATTTGGTGCAACTGCAACTTTTAAAATTCAAAAGAATTTCCCAAGTTATCTTAATATCTTATCTATGATTTGATCTTGCTTCCAAGTTAACGGGGACTTCCAATCGTTGCCCTTTTCTGTGTGATTTATTTTCATTTAGTACAATTGAGAAATGAAAAATAAAATTGTCAAAATTAAAATTTAAAAATTTTAAAAATCACCACACTTTAAAAAAAAAAAAATTTATGACCACTGAATAGTAGATGGCCATTTTCTTTTATTTGATATATGTATAACAGAATACTATCTCTATATATTTTTTTTAATCTAGATTGCTCCTAATAGAAAGTCCAGCTCAAATTGTAAAAGTACTTAAATATTTTTAATAATTAAGCGTATTTAATTATTTCTACAGTCTTTTTTTTTTTGAGGAATTATTTCTACAGTCTTAAAATTGTTGTAAAAGATATTTTTGAAAGTAAAAGACGATTGGTCAAAGAAAGGTAGGGGTTGTTGAATTAACGTTTATTTTTTTTTTTTATAATAAGGAATTTCGAAGAAGGAAAACCTGAATATAAAATTCAAGTTTTAAGTATTCAAATATTTTTCTCGTTGTAATGATTAGTAAACCATTATATGCTAGACAATTAACTCTTAAGAGCAAAAAATAGGGGCAAGAGGTTGAGAAAAATCCTTTAATGTATCATGTATAGATGAATGAATCTCTTATTTTATATTTTTATTATATTAAATTATAAAATAAAAATTTTTAAATGAAAAGATTATTTTAAATAATAAAAACTCTTTTTTAGTTAATAATTTAAATTATATTACATAACATTTTTTTTTTGTAAATGAATTTTTTTAATATTTATGTTTGAGTTAAAAGGGAGCTTTGCTCTATTTTGTAAAAAACATTGATATTGAAATGAAAGGAGCTTGTTGTTGACTCTCGACTCTTTACTCTTGTAAGGAAGCCTCTTTAATGCAGCACAACAGACACAACCAGGATTTAGTGGATACTCTGTTCAATCTGTGCTGTCCTTTTCAATGTCTTTCCATTTCACATGTAAAAGAAAATTAACATCATCTACCGTATCCTTCACATTTCTTTTTCACTAGTACTCAAAACTTTTTGGTACATAAAATGATAAACCATATAAGAAGTATTAATCTTCTTTTCTTTTCTTTTTTTTTTTTCAAATAATTTGTTATACTATTTCAATAGTTGGATTTAAAATTTATCATTTTAAAGTATCTAAAAATAATTGAGAGTTGCCTTTAGCGCATTAATTCTTAGTAAGTTACTAGCTCTATTGATGCAAAATTTATTGCATGTCAAAATCATTTGTGTTTTAAGGAATATAAAATGTGCAAGTTTTGTGGGGTCAAAATATTCATGGTTTTGGACCTAGCAGTACCAAATTGCTGAGGGTAGATTATTGTTTGTGATCTTCACTCTTATTTTATTGGCCGTGGAATGCTTAAAGTCCACAAGTCCATAATAAGCTTTGCTTCAAAGGTTTGGAAGAGCTTCACCTACAACTCCAATCTCCATGGCTAAAGATGGAACAACTAAAAATTCCCTCACTTGATAAACATGGTATAGCAAGCATTAATTATTCATATGGATATTCAAGATCTTCCAAAGTTAGTCTCAACAAAAAGGAAGATGAAGATGGTTGCTTGAACAAGTTTTTTTTTTTTTTTTTTGAAAAGATCAATCAACCCCCTACACTTGAAGCAAGAAATGAAAAATATTTTCATGTTGTTTAGCCAATGCCAAGATATTATAATGGTAAGGAACTACTCCGTTAAAGAGCATGTGACTATATGAAAATACACAATTAGGAAAAAAAAAATTATGCCATGAAATATCACATCAATGGTATTTTCATTTACTAATATAGTGACATATCAACATATGTGACTCTCATTTATAATTAAATAATTAATGAATTGTAATAAATTAAATCTTTTTTATTGCAAGTAAGGACCTCATGTACTAATTTATCTTTACATTAGTAGATAAGACATTGTTGATGTGGTATCTCATTATATAGAAGAATTTTTCACAACTAGAACGCCATGTTTGTACATACATGATACAACCCTTTATGGATCATTTTATATACTTACAACCTTGAATCTCACGTGGCATCTCTCTCCTTCACATGAATGAACCTCGATATTTATTCTTCTTCTTCTCTTTTAATCTCAAAAATAAAAGATTTTTGAAAATTTGGCCTTAAATCTTTGCTAAATCAGAAAAGATGTCAAGAATCTTGAAATCTTGGGGACAAAAACATTTAACCACTCCTCCGCACTCTGTAACACACATTTGCCTCTGTTCCCTTTGTATATTTTAGTGGGAAGACGCCAAAAGAGCCAACCCATGTTCTTGAGGATCGAGCTTGCTGCTAAGGAATCAGGAGACAGGTCAAACTTACATCAAACTCACAAACTTTATATGAAACTTCAGATTACTTAAACGCACTTTTGTTTTCTCATTGCTACTGAAGATCTTATGCATACCAAAATGAGATTTCCTAGTTTTTTCTTCTTTCTCTCTCTCCTGCTCATTTTCTTCTTTCTTGTACATGGGAAAGTGGATGCAACTGAATTTCTTGTAGATTCTGGGAACTCTGTTAGTGGGGTGAGTTGGGATCTTCTTTTCTTTTTCTTTTTCTTTTTCTTTTTCTTTTTTTTTTTTCTCTATGTTCTTTTTATTGCATAAATCAATCTGTTTTCCTTGAATCTTGATGTTCTTTGATGATGCAGAGAGGAGCAGAGTATGGGAAAGAGAGTGTGAAGAGCAAAGAAGGAAATAGTGGGTCAGTCGAAAGTTTTCTCCATGAGGATTATGTCTACACCAATTCTGTTCCTTAGATATTTTGCTCTTTCCTTTGGTGTAACTTTACAGTTTCAATCCATCATATTATGAATCTTGGCTGTTAAAAGGGAATTGTAGAGTTTTTTTTTTTTTTCAATTCATCAGATTATACATGTTCGCTGTTAGAAGGCATTTGAAGAGTTGTTGTTTTGTTTTGTTTTTTTTTTTTTTTTTTTCTCAATTCATCAGATTATACATGTTAGCTGTTGGAAGGCATTTGTAGAGTTGTTGTTTTGTTTTGTTTTTTGTTTTTTGTTTTTTTTTTCCCTTTACATTTCCAATGAATCCTGTTCTGGAACTTTCCTTCTATTTTCTTCTCATTTTTTGTTAGCGTAGTTTTGAGGATCTTTGGGTTGAAACCTCACCTGCATCTGCAATCACCCCAAATTTTTTACTTTCTTAAGGAAATGTAAAATTTGCATTCAATTCAATAGTACAAACTAAAAAATCTAAGGGCTTTTATTGGTTATACAAACCTATCTTGCAACCACTGAGTTGAACAAGCAACCAAGTAATCAACCATAACAAATCATATTATCTACCCTCAAAGAGAGTCAAAAGTGATTTTTCAACTATAAGATTTCGAGATTTTAAATTAAAAGTTTTAAATTTAAATCTTAGGATAAATAATAAAGATATAGGGAATGGGGATAATTATCCCCTTAGATGTCCTAAAAAACTAATCATATTATATTTTTTGAGATTAAAAGTGGAGGGATTCACAACATCTCGTTTGAACAGTCAAATACACTTTATTATTAACTGAGTTACAAATTTAAGCCCACAAATCATCCTCTTGATTACATAGACCGACATGATCATATCGATCCAATTTACAAAATATATACTTTTCCAATTGAGTAAAATACAAGATTAGCCCTAGGATATGTGTTCTCTCACATGGGGTTCTCTCACATGGGGTTCACCTGAACCCTTGCAGTTCCAAGGCCCAGGGCAATGGCTAGGTCAAATGGGACTACTCATGTAAGCATCACCCTGGAAAGTACATATTTGTGGCATCTGTGATCCATCCTCTTACACAGCTGTTTTTTTAATTATTGTTTATTTTTTAAAGGATTAAGAACACAGATTAATGATGTATGGTATAAGAATTGCATTGCACCGGCCACCTGCCATGGAAAATTGATAATTAGGAGAAGGATTCAGATACCTTGGGGACAGGGTTGGGGGGTTGAGCATTGACAGCTAAGGTTGGGGTAAAATACTAGCTCAAGGATATACAAGCTTATTCATTCATTCAAAGAAATTTGTTGTCACTCCCGACAGATTGAATCTTCTCTGGTTTGGTACATAAACTAACAAAGGAATATCAATTAATTAGAAATTTAGGATCGTGATCCTCTCTATCTTTGTCTGCATTAACGAAGTGATTGACTTAAATAACACCACACAGCTATGAGCCTATAAGCGGACAGGACAATGAGATGAAAGGAAGTCCAAAAAGTCCCAAGGTAATAATAATTCTTTTTGCCAAGGAAATCTCAACTGGTAAGAGCTTGAAACCCCTAGCTTAGACATAGAGAAGGAATTTATCCTTATTGTATAGCTTATCAGCATATGTACAAAAAAAAATCATAATTTTACAACTTGACATTGAAAAACTTCATAATGTTACAGTTTTATACACAGCTTATAGATAGACATGCCACCCTAACAAATTATGATAGGAGGCTACATAAATTGCTAATTATCCACCGTATAGTTGCTACAAGTTTACTCTATATTGCTGCTAAAAACCATGTGGTACACTGATAAACATTCTGGAAAAAGAACTCTACCTCCACAAACAAAGGAATGTTTTTTCACGGTAACTTGAAAGGGATAACAATTTATTGGCCACTACGATCGTGAGCCTAAATCAATAATTGTTCTTTTCCACCTTGAAAAGGCACAGCCTAGGACATCAGCCTCAGATATCCTGAACAAAAATATGCAAGTAGGAAGTGCCACAAATTAGAATATTAGAGAATTGAGATTAGAAATGTCTTGAGTTCTCACTTTGTTGCCAAGGCTGCACACTCAACTTGCCATCAGGATCTTCTTGTGAGCTGAATCTCGAAATCTCTTATGATCTACAGAGGAACAACACTAATAGAATTTCTGTCAGTAAGATGAGTAGAATTTCTGTCAGTAAGATGAGTAGAATTTCTGTCAGTAAGATGAGTAAAATATGCGAAAAACTTAACAGCCTGTGGAAAAGGGTAATATAGTTGTCTGCAGTAAGGCATTAAGCTAAACTATTATTGAATTAATGTTATGTTCAGAAACTCCTAATTGATGAAAATATTTTAATTTCATCCTCAAGAATGAGCAAAACAAATAGAGCCATTGCTGTTTCAATTCAATCTGAACTTTTACTTCTAATTCTTTTAGTGGTTAACATTAAAATTATAGATGAAACAAATGGAACCCTTGATGCTAATCTTGTACTTCCATGTCAATTGTGTATGTTCAATGGTTTGTTAACAAGTGCAACAAATTTAAATATTATCAAATTAAATACAAAGTATACTTTTTAACAATCCTTTTTTTCCCGAACCATAAAACTGAAGGAATTTCAAACAAGTTGCATAAAGAGACAGTTGTTAACAAGATTCACTCACCCATTGGTTAAGCAGTTCCTGTAATCAATTTTTCCCGCTGATCAAATTTTTTGACTGTTATAATGCCAAAGAGAACTTGGAGGCTGAAGAATGCACAACTGACAAATGCCACAATAGCAGGCACCTAGTTGGATAACAACATCAGCAAATGATTAGATGTGTGTGAGACTGTGAGTCTCTGCACGCATGGATGCACAAGTCTGTATGTGTATGTTAGATTTAGGAATGAAAAAGAAAATATGATATTATGTACACAAATTAAAAGGGAGGGTTTACTCGAATAGAGTTCAGATACAAAATTGTTGCAAGGTTGATCAGGCTTCCAGCAGCTACTGCCTGTTGAGTAACCAAAGAAAGAACCATTTAGAGAATATCCTACTTTAGAATTATTTTCGAACATTTTCCACAATGTAGAATTGATCCCAAAAGAAACAAGTCATCTGTTGGTTTCTCAGCCAAAAAAATATGCAGCTTTCAAAATTCTACACATAAATAAATGCAGTATGGAGCTTTTCAACTACAGTAATCATTCTAATACACAATCTTGTGCACATTTCTAAAGTCAGATTCAAGTTGCAATAGAAATTCCATCAGCACTATAAACACAGGTCCTTTAAGTCAGTATTTGCAGCTTCATTGCACCATCTGCACCTCACTTCCTAGTCTTCTCTAAGCAACCCCACCTAAAAATATACAAGCATGATGTCCACACACAGACACCTTTTATCTAATCCACATCTCTAAGCACTCAATTATTCAGAACTCCTAAGGGGATGGTTTTTGGCCTATGCCTCCAATAAACAAGTTGCCCAACAGGTGTGGCTATTTTGATTATGGCTTTTTCTGGTTACATGCAAAAGTGGTGGATCCCACCATATTTTGTTTCAGCATGTATTGTGGAATCCATCTCATTTGCGTGTAGGAAAAAAAATGGAGCTAAAATTGCCCTGTCTGTTTCCCACATATGCATAAACTTGTAGTGTCCAAGAAATAGGTTAAGGTGAAACAGACCTTGTTCATGATAACAGAAGAAATGTTAAGAAGGGCAATTATGAAAAATCAATATTCAACATCTTGCAGCAGAAATGATGAAATAAGCCTTTGACCTAAGAAATTAGCAAAATAAGACCAAGGATCAGTTAGACTCACACTCCCCACCATCTTCTGGACAGCTGCAACACGTTGGAATGCCCTTTCAGACTCCAAAGTTCGCACTCGAAGTTTCAGATCACCTTGCTCCTGTAAAAACAGAGTATTATGTGGCAGTGGCATGAATCTAACAACTAAAAATATTGATAAAACAAAGAATATTTAAACCATTAAAATCAAAAGGTCAGTGGGAATCCCCCATCTCACCAGTCTTTGGATGGTTTCAGCAAGCCTCTCAACTCTATCAGCCTGCCTAAATAAGTTGTAGAATGCACGAGAATGTCGATCCCATCTCTTTCTGAAGTCCTGATGCATTTATAGACGTAAAATGATAAAGGAAATTATTAACAGAACTAACAATTCATGGTAGAATCAAGATAGCTGAAGATTACCTTCAATAGAACTTCAATTCCAGCTTCGCGAAATCTTAACAGTTCCAGTGCATAGCTACATGGTGTACCATGCCAAACATGTCAGAATACAAAGAGGGTACAGATTATCAAATCTAAGAAATTAGATGAAAAGTTTTACAGATATTGCCAGAGCCAAACCACACTTACGGTTTTGCAATCTCAGTGATGTCAAAGCGAGGATCAAGGCCTTTTCCTATGCCATCCAGTACTGCAGAGGAGGTAACTTGCTATTGTGAGGTTTTATTTCATATACCAGAATCTAGCAGCAAAACCACCATATTTCTACTTCATCACCTGAAAATGCTCTAACCACAAACGTGAATGTGGCAGGGAATCGGAAGGGCTGGTCTGCTGCTATGGCCAATAAATCTTCCCCTGCAACATGATAAAATAGTCATGAGTAACCACACCAACCCGTAGAGGTGAACAAGTAAGAAAGAGAGGTTGCTTAATACATTTAAGAAATAAACTTCTTCCTAATTTATAATGATTCTTCCGAAAATCCCACAAACATGGCTGAGGGTGTTCAAACTTAACCAACAAAATTTTAGTGGGATAGTTGGGTTAGATCATTGCAGGGAGTTCCTCATTTAGTGCATTAAATTAATAATAAAAGTCCAATATATCCATATAAAATAGCACCAAATTAACTACCAATTGCAGCCAGTCGTTCCTTCTTTTTTTGTATCTTTTCCTCTTTAGTCAAAGACTTCTTAAATCCAAGTTCTGTTTTTGCTGTTTCTCTCTCCTTTCTCTGAGCAGCAAGACGCTCTTCAAAACTGCAATGGTTTCACATACAAGTCAATAATCAGCATAATATTTAAATGCAAGAAAGACCTATAACACAACTTGTTACTCCTCGCCCTTGTTTTCCCCACTTCACTAAAGCAATCAAGGGTGTAAAGTTCTACAGTTAACATTTGGTTTATAAAATAAAAAAATAATTCAGCTTCATCACTAGTATTGTGCAGACAAATTAACTTCTTTCTTTTCTTCTTTAGGCACAGAAGAAGATAATATGGGCAATAGAATCCTACAAAGAGACTTAAGCATGTGAGACTTATATATACACTTCTTTAGGAAGTGCATTGAGGGTGAAAGCAACATTGTGGCATCAAATATCTACCAACTGTGGGTGCAAAAGAAATTCTACAGTGAGAAAGAATTTTCTGGCTAAGTTGTAACTTGTAAAGGAAGACTTTTGAAAACAGAAATACTCATTCAGAGCCAAAGCTGTTCACTTTGGGAAATAAAATATATTCCATATATCCAAAAAAGATAAGCTCTTGCATATAACTTCTACATCTTTTTTTTTTTTTTTGGCCTTCATATAAGTTCTGCATCTGTTCTATCTTTTCTTCAATAATTAAAATGATATCAGTTCGTTCTTCAACCACAATTGTTAAGAGGAAGCACCTAACCATTATTAACTTTCAATTATATCTCATTCCCACAAAAAAAAAAAAGAAAAAAAGATGACCAGAGAATTGAAAAAATCTCAATCAAACCTGTTAAGGAAGAACAGTGCTGTCCGTCTCACAGCTGTCATATCCCCGGTAGGGACAAGAACACCCATTTGAATCATTGCTTGAAGAACCTGAATCAAGGTCAGGGTTCATTAGTAAGTAAATCAAAGATGAACATGGGAAACGCAACATGCTGCAAAGGTTCATCAACAGAAAAAACAATTTGTGATAACTACATATATTCCAAGAAGGCATAACCATAGACCACCCTGCTTTAAGAGATAAATATAATCACCTTATCTGGATCCTTCTCATAAATTCCATAGAATGCTTCCAGTAAGCCTTCTCTAATGTTTGAACTTATGCTGCAAGGTTCCACAACAGAACAAACACTTTTAGAGGACATTGAAAATTGAAATACCTAGAAAGAATTTATTTAGGATGCTTAGGCAGATAGCCATTAAGTACCTACCTTCCCATCATTCCAAAGTCATAGAAGATCAATCGTCCACCATTAACATCATCAACAGCAATATTTCCAGGATGCTAAAAGCGGGACCAAAAATAAAATCTAGTTAGATTTATCAATTCCCTGCATGCCATTGCCATTATTCAGTTTAAGGCTAATGATATAGAACACCCACTTGACAAGAGGTGCACGATGTGCATGAGGCACACACCAATTTCAAAATTAAAGCATGCTCAAGAAGGTAATTCAATGGTTTATGAAGGCCTTCAAGGAACACGCACACCATCAAAAGACTTGCGCCAAGTGAATTCAACAGCTTTATTGAGTTGTTCAAAGGACATGCTTTCAATTCAAACATGGACAAGGCACATTTTAAAAAAATATGGCATGTATGGATATATGCCATTGTGAATTTGCATATGTAAGTGCAAGAAGTTAATGCACTTATGTACTAAAAAGAAGAAAAGCCTCGTCCCTCTTCCCTCACAATTTCATCTAAATAATCAATGTATTTGGATGAACCCCAAAAATCAGAAGTAGCAATGGAGACACACCGGATCAGCATGAAAAAAGCCATGAGAGAGAATTTGTTCCAAGTAAGATTCAACAGCATATCTACCCAGCCTACAAAACAAACAAATCATAACCATAACGAGATCGAAGAAAATGATTTCTTCTGATTGGGGATCCACAGAGTGCTGAGAATGTAAGAAAAGAAGGTAATCTGTGAACAGAGTATCGCTAGGGAGATTATCTCAACCTTTGGCGATCAACACCCAACTGATCCAGAGCTTGAATTTTATTTATTTTAATCCCTGGGACATACTCCATTGTCAGAACCTACAGAAAAACATATGAATATATGAATCTAACAATCTAAATTCAAAGCTTGAAGCTTTACAATTAAGAGTAAATGTCATACTTGTGGTGTAGTGTAATCCCACAAAACTGTTGGGACTTTGACATAATCCATGCTTTCGAAGTTGCTTGCAAATAGTTCAGCATTAGCGGCTTCCTTGGTGTAATCAATCTCCTGAGAATTTATACTATTAGCTACCATCATACTAATAGTTTCAGGATTTGTAGCTCAAAAACAAATAAAAAGACTTCTAAAAATTGTAATTCTTCCATAGTTCTTTGTTATTCTGAACCTTTCAAGTGGGTTTATGCCACGAAAGCCCAAAAATTAAGAGATGGTCACATATCCAGTGAAGTTGGGAGTCCATATGTTCACTAATCATAGAAAAATTAGTCTTAACCTTGTCATTGTAGCATATCAGGCAACTCTTCGCTTTTGAACCTTGTTCTTTGTACTTCATTTATTTATCATTCATGGCAGTATTAGTAGGTTAGTGTGCTTAACACACGATTTGAACCCCCTAGCCCTAACTCCAAAATTAGGCCTTAACAATTTAACTGGTACTCACCAGCTATGCTTTAGTTACATTCTTTATTCATTTCTCCTAAAATTTCTGTGTACTATTCCTGTAGGAGGTAGCTTAAAGTGGGTACCTGACTTGATGTTTTAAATATTTTTTCCAGTAGCATTCAATCTTCTGGGCAACAATTTCTAATATATGTAATAGGTAAACTTCATCAAAAAGGTCAAGTAAAAAACCTCCCAACAGCCTTCCTTTTTTTTTTTTTTTTGGCCAACCCTAACATAGTTTGGTGGACAAATAGGAGCTATTGCAGGCAATGTAGCATCAATTTAGAGCCTAGGCAGGTGAGAACAGTGCAGTTGATTGTTTTAAACTTTCACATCCATAACAGCAACAAAAATGTGAATAACAGTACCTGATATAACACACTAGCACATTCATCATAAATAGCAACCCAGTCTCTCTTTGCACCATCTGACTTGGGATCAACCTTTTGAAGATATTCTGCTATAACCTGACAGCCAAAAGGAATGAGAAGTAAGGGGGTGTAGGAAGAGAATGTGTTAGTGTACCCAAAGTTTCAAAAGCCCAGAAATACCTCTCAAACACACTTATACAGGAATCGTGGTTCAGACTGATAGCATGTAGAAGTCATATATCTATAAAAACTCTCAAATTTTGACTAGCTGATGAAACATGGAAGGATAAAAACTCTATAGAAACCATAGAGATGACATAATACTAACAAAAAAAGAGTCACCACTGAGTTAAGCTCTGGTAGATTTATATCAAGGAAAGGAAAAAAGGCATTACTAACCCTCAGGTTTTTAAGATCAATGTCGAAAAGATCCTTGAGACCAGGCCTTTGTACTTTTACAACAACTTCTTGTCCCTTCAATCTTGCCCGGTGGACTTGACCTGCATAAAGAAGAAAGATGAATGTGCTGTTGCTTTCATTCTTTATTAGCTAACAATAAACTATGAAACCTATAAAGTTCAATTTTATGGGTAAGACTATTGATACCTGCTTCTATTTTCTTTTGACGTTTTACATTTTATTAACTTGAATCTAAAGTTATTGCAAACTCAAATAACTAAAAATTGCAATATGACTAGGAGTAACGTTAAAAAGCAATGTAGCTTGCTTCATTTTTATGTTTCCTGTATTTAATTGTTTAAGGTACATCATAAGGATGGCTTCTATATTTAAAAAAATAAAATGGTAAAGCTTATACACAATGTCCTGACTATTGAGTTCAAATATACTTATTTGGCCAAAAAATAAAAAACATACATTTATGGTAAAACAGGAATTAATGTTAAGTTCTTTGAGATTTGCTTAGAAAATATCTGTAAAGTACATTCTATTTTAGTGACATGAACACATGAGCATATGCTAC